GAAGGGGATAAATTAGGCAGTCTCTTACCTTTATAAATAACAAGATATAACTTAAAATGCTCAAAAACTAATTATTCTGTCTTTGCCTCTTGTCAGATGCATACGATTAGCTTTGGTTCATGATATGGCGGAATGCATTGTTGGAGATATTGCTCCTGCAGATAATATTTCAAAAGAGGAGAAACACAGGAGAGAAGAGGTATGGACATAAGGCACGAAGCGTTCTGCATGTTTTTAATGTTCTGATGGTAGTGAAGAGACCCTCTAAGCAACATAATACTGTCATTGGCATTGGACACGTATGCCACAACCAACCAAGGTTTTCAGCTCATTGTGATTTTTGTACATGTAATGTCACCAAGTACAAAGTTATGGAAGGAGAACCATTGAAGTAATCTTCATGTTGGCCATTTATTCCTGAACTGGCTGGATTTTTGGTAGCCTGAATTAGTCATGTTGACCAGCCTTACCAAGAGGTGGGGAGCCGGGAGTAGGTGCACTGAGAAGGGTGAATGGCAGTTCATGGCGGACCATTTGTGTGGTGCCAAATAATGTGGTTGTGACAAAGACGTTATTTAAACCATTTGCAGGGGACTCCAGACACAGGTCTCTTTTTTTGTCATGAGTCTTTGAATGCAGCATGCCTGGAGTAATTTTATTTTTGGCCTTGTACATATCCAAACTGTTGGTTTGTCATTTCTGGTTTGTTGCATTATTTGAAGAAAATATAAACCACTTCTCCAGCCACAGCTAGAGGGCAACGTGATGCCTCTGAAATGCTTTAGAGGCTACAATTAGCTCTTCAAAGAGTGTAAAAAACATTGCAGTGATTATTCCCCCCCTCCCCTTTTATGCTTACCTGTTTAAAACTTGGGGGTGGGGGGGCTATGACTAACTGTAGGAGTAAGCTCTTTGCTAAGAAAGTGGAAATTAAAGATCAAAGGGGTGCTCGGCGTTCATGAAGTACTATCTTTACTGACTGCAATTTTGGTATTTCTGTTTTTTAGTGTACTTCCTAGTGTGTTCTTACACTAAACAAAAAAACCCCACCTCTTTCCTGGAAGCCTCCAAAGGTTGTTTTGTCACCAAGGATCAGGCTTCAACTTTGCCTAGACGGAATTCTCATTTGTATTTAGGCAATGAAAAAGATGTTTTGATGCCTAAGTATGTTTATTTGCAGCTCCTTCTGCTCCCATTTCACTCAGTGAGGACTTTGCTGTTGACTTTGTGGGAAGGAGGGTCAAGCATTAAACATTTAGGCTGACTCTGAAATACTTTGTTGTAAAAATACACCAAGGGTAACAGTTTCATGAGGTGGCTTGAGCTGAACTATCAATATGCTGCTGCTGCTGCAGAGTTCTCCTTTTTTCCCCTTTGCTCTACAGCTGACGTTGAGGTGGTTCTGAAATTTGCTGCTTGTGCAGTAAGTTTAATCAGCTAGTCTCACCAAGGCTAAGGCAGCAGAAAATTAACTTGATTTTAAAAAAAAAAAGTTTGGGTTTTTTGGTTGGGTTGGTTGGGTTGGTTTTTTTGCCAATTAAATTATTTTGCCCTGCTGACCTTGAAAACTGATGAGCTCCGGAGCTGGAAGGAGGTGGGGAGGAATGAGACCTTGATGCTTCACTGGTGGGGAGCAGCTGATGCAGTTCAGCCATATTGTCAAACTATACCCTGTATTTGAAGTGGAGAAACAATCATGGCACAAAACCTCTGTCTTACTTGTGATGTTGATTGTTTCGGAAGCAGCGTTTAGTGTTAGTAGGAAAACAGTAGAAATGGCACAGAAATGAGGCTGAGCAGCTGAGAGAGCACAAGGAGCGTGCAGAACAATTTCTGCTTGCTGGATATACTGTCAGTTTGATACTGCGTTAAACCTTGTACCAGGATTTTTGTTGTTGAACAAATGGTATCTCAGTCTGGGAGCACTGTGTTTTATTGCTGCAGGGTGTTAAATGGATTTTTTTCTCTGTTTTTCTAAATTGGAAAAATTGTAAAGGCTTATGTTGTGTTGCCTGCCTGACAGTCAGCAGCTGTTCTCAGCCCTGCTAGTGGAAATTTGCTAGTTGAGTGTTTGGGAGGGGGCAGTTGCTCGTCACCACTAGGAGTTAGTATTTTGAAGCTGCTTTTATGAACTGCACCTATAACCTATTAAGTTCAAATGTTGCCTCCACTAGTTAAATCTGGAAGGCAGAGCTCATACTTGTCGGCAGTTCCTCGGTGTTTGACTTGCCTGTTCTGCTCTGGGCTTCTTTTTGGACTCTAGAAGATACTGGGTGTACTTTCAGGTTGTTTTTCTTGTGTTTTATACTAGTTCCTGAACAATTTACTTAAGCAGCTCCCAGAAAAAATTCTTCACTGAGTGGTCCTACTGTTTTTCTGGCAGTTTTATGTACACGTGCACTTTAGAATAATATACTGTGTAGTGTAAGTTTCTACAAACTTGGTAACAAGTAGTTAATTCTTCAAAAAAGATAATGATAAAAATGTGCTTGCTCAGAAAATGGATAAATGGCTTCTTTTTTTTCAGGCAGCTATGCAGCAACTGACCCAGCTTCTATCAGAGGACCTCAGAAAAGAAATCTGTGAACTCTGGGAAGTAAGCTTGCATTCTTTTAATCCTTTGGTAAAATTCAGGGTAACCCATTGTCCTCTTCCTGTTTACCTATGAAACCGTGTCATCTCTTACTTTGACCTCAAACAAGGTAGATTCATTTGCGTGGGAGATAAAGCTAATGGTATGAGTCAAGGTCACTCTGGAGTCCGTTTGAAAAAGAAACCCCTAACTTTGATAAAGTAATGGGAGCTGCTGATGGAGTATTTTCTGTTTTTTATGCAAGTAATAATTTATGTGGCTTCCATTTCTTTATTATACAGCCCGTTAGGCTGAAATACTTAGTAGTAACTTCTGGTTTAAACTTAAATGTGGTGTACTGACACAGAACAGTGCTTTTCTACAAACAACACAGATTGCTGCCTGGTCTTGGGTACCTTAAAAGTTTGTATTGGAAAGTATCTTCTGTATTTGAAGGTGATTTAACTTTTTGATGTGAACTCATGCTGATAATTGATAAGATCTTTTACACTTGCAAACTAGGGATGATTAGATTATTTCCAAACAATTCAAGTTTATAATTACTATGCTTTATCTTCTCCTGGCATACAGTCGCACAAGGACAAGTGCATCCACAATCCCCTGTTCACATGTTGTTCCAACCAAAGCATTATATGTTTCTTGGACTCTGTGGCCTGAAATTGTATTTTATGCTAATATTCTTAGTTTTCCACTTGGACTGTGTTTAAATTCCAGATATTTGCAGCCAATTTCTGCCTTTTGTTACAGCACCCTGTTTGTTTGGGGTTTTTTTTCTTGCTGTAGTTATGTGGTAGAAACTGGCAATGGGGTTCGGTTTTCAGTGCTATAATTCAAGGTAAAAGGGGTAAACCAGCATAACCAGGTCTGGGAGATAATGTGTGTGCATTTGTTTGGTGAGCCCTAGTTCCTTCTCCCTTGGGAAGCTGTTACAATTGAGGAAAAACAGTTTTTGATAGATAAGATTAGTCCTGTAGAACTTTTCTTTTTGCATATATTCTTTTTCTTTGCCTCAGTCTTCTCCTATGATTGTATAAGAACTGGTTCAGTATGCAGTTAGTTCTTCACCATGTTAGCTTTTTATCATTCTCATTAACCATAATTTAACATACGCACACTTTTGATCATTTGTTCTTTGTTTCTACCTTCAGGATAATTTATTGGCATTGAATCTCCAATGCAGCAGTGTGAGTGTAACCCACATAGCAGCGAGTGTAACCTAAAAATCTACTATTCACACGTAGTCCCTCTAGTCTTATTTTAAGTGGAACAACTAGGTGCTTCTTAAAAAGCAGAAAAAAAAAAAAAGGCAGAAAATAAGAAGTCTCTGATCACTTAGTATGATAGTCTGCTTTCAGCTAGCCAGAGGCATTTTCCTCTTGATTTCTTTTTGTGAGTGAAGGAAGTTATGGCCCAGAGCTGAACACTGGCTGGGACAAGATCTGTTGACATTCTTAGCAAGTCCTTCCTGCACTGCTCTGCCCTCCTCTCTGCCCTTCTTTCCCTTTCAGCCTTACAAGGACTGTTGCTTTGCACTGTACTGGTGGGCACTCTGCAAGTGCAGTGTAGGGGAAAAAGGTAGCAGAAAGATGCCTCCAATATATTTTCACTTTATAACTTAATCCAGAATACGTTTGAAAAAACATTAAAGTAAATGAGTCAGCACACTTCATCTCTGTCCTGCTTTTTTATTTTCAAGAGCAAAAGCATTTTTAAAAGACAGACTGTGGTGGTTGAGAGACCAGTTACTGTTTTTCCAAAGTATACTGTTATTTCGCACTCTTGAACACCTGCGGGGAGGAAAGAGTAAGTGTTTATTTCAGGACTGTGCCCAGTTGCACATACAATAGCTGATGTTTCTTGAGGTTAATGTGAGCTGAGGTATGAATAAGATCTGGTGGGTTGTATGGCACAAAGAGGTTGGTAACAGATTGATACTCCCAGTTAATTGCTGGAGGTGGGACAGACCTTTACAAGCAAACAGCCATAGTTCTACTTCTCCTGAAGTTCTCCTTTGTAATGCTGCCAAGAGTTTGTTCTCTTTGGTGGGGAAAAAAAAAGAGTAGAAATAAATAGATTTAAGAAAATAAGAAGTAGTATTTAAACAATTTAAAGATGAGGCAAAGCTCCGATTGAGAGGAGGAAGGGAAGGTAAAAATGTTGAAATGAAATTGATGACTAAAATAATGATCAAAATGTAATTGAAAATTCAAAGCATCGTTCAAATCCAAATAGAGTAGTGTGAGAGTCAGTCATGGCTATCAAAATCTGGATTTCTGACTTTCAAAGGTAAAGCAATAAGCTTAAGAACAAACAGGTTCCTAATAGTATGTCAGACAAGGAAATGACCATGACACTTATCTGAGCATCGCTGTGATGGAATTACAACCCAGGATCTTGCCACTGTGAATGACACCCACAGCCACAGTTGTCTTCTTAAGACGCAGGAAGAAATGCCATGTTCTTTGGTCCGTAGGAAAAACTCTTCCTGCACTTGTGCTGCTCTCATCTGCAGAACTGCTGTGCATCACGGGTTGTGTTGATCTGAAAGCACATATGGGCCCGGTGTGTAATTAAGCCTCTGGTCTGATTATTGGTGGTGTTGATGATGAATGGGGTCAGACCTGCTGAGGGTATCAAGGTGATGGTAACCTGCACAGAAAGGAGCCTTTTTCTGCGGTTGGTTTTGGAAGTCAGGAGAAGACCAGCTGATGAGACATCAAATACAATGCAGTAGATTTAGAAAAGAGGAAATGGGAAACCCATCTGCAACCGTCACTGGAAGCAAATGACAGCAAAATTGTTCGAGTTGACTAGAAATGTGAATGACTCTCAAATATATACTGACGATGACTGGAGAGAGGGAAGAGATAGCAGAGAGATTAAAGGACTTAAAGTCTGAAGGGGAGGAAACCCCTTAACGACTCCCCTCCCTAGGAGAGACATAAAGACATAAGCAGCTCAGACAGATTAGACAAAAGAGATTAAGAAGGAGTGACAGGAGAAATGTAAAGAACAGCTCCTTATAAATACAGCAAGTGGTGGAGAAAAGTGCAAAATAGATTTTAAAAATAGGTAATGGTAATGCACAGGCATACACTGTGGTAATTCATAGCCTTAGCCAGGCCTGAAAAGATACTTATATATAAAATGGTGTTAAATGTAGCTTATTATTTGACTTGTATATCGTTGTCTCCATATCATCCCTGATGCAGCTGAAACACTTGGTATGTTTTTAAGTTAGAGTATGAAAAAGAATTGTGTTCTTAAGTCCTATTATGTTTAATAGAAATTTAGTACTTATTTCAAGTGTTTTGCTGAATAGCAGTCTTAAAAAGAGAGTGAAAGACGTAACTGTCGTGAATATTTATGGAGTGGCTTGTACTAATGAGGAAAATTCTAGATATATAAAGAGCTTCTAATACTTAGTTTCAGAACAACACAATTTTTTTTCTTATAACTGCAAATCTGTTCAGGAATATGAAAACCAGTGTACTGCAGAAGCCAAGTTTGTAAAACAGTTGGATCACTGTGAGATGATACTGCAAGCATTTGAGTACGAAGAGTTGGAAAACACACCTGGCAGACTGCAGGATTTTTACAATTCAACTGCTGGTATGACATTTGTGCCTTTTTTTTTCTTTTGTAAATGAAATGAAATATATAAATTGCCTTTTCTTCTGATAGACATTCAGAGCAAGTGAGAACTAGTAATTCTGCTCATCGCTCAAGTACCCTAAATATTTCTGGGGAAACTTACTGCAGTATAAACGTACCTTACATTTATTTGTATGTATTGAACCTGAATCTCATTTACGCCAAGTTCCTTTTACATCACTTTGGACACCTAGAGAGAGGCCCAGCTTTCATTACACTTGCATGTGTTTAAGGATCTCCCTGTACCATCAGAGGGGGTATAAAGGAGGCTTCATTCTTCACTGATGCTCTGACAGCGGTTTGTTTCTACTTTGTTAGTGTTTCATAAACCAGTGAAGTAGAATTTGTTATCCCTACGTGAGCTGTGATCTCGTGTGACCTGCCCAAGGTACACGTCAGAACCAGCTCAGTGAAATGTTTTAGGTGCAATTGTATTATTTTTTATTCTATCCACTGCTTTTCATCCTTTCCAGAATAAACTGATAGTGGGAAGGAAAAATAGGTAAAATAGTCTTTACTATTTTAGCAAGGGAGTTGAACACCAGAAGAGGACTGTGACTCCAAGTCATCCTATCCTGGGAAAAAACTAGGGACAGATAAACTCGGGGAGAGGACCAGCAATCGCCAGACACAGTCCCCAACAAGTCCCATTTATACCTTGGTAACTCCTCAGGGAAATAATAAGCTTTCTGAAAAATGCAATAATTTGATCAGGGAAGGAGGGAAAAAAAGGACAACATCAGCATAGCTGGAATACTTAATTTTCTAATTGGCATCTTTGCCCTCCTACTAGAACTCAGTAACTTAAACTAAGCTAGTGTCTCAGTAGAGCCTAGAGCATATACCCTATGTGCACCTGTACTTGGGGTGGTTTCCTGTAGCTAGATGCATAGCATGGGATTGACCTGGTCAGGGTGCATCCTTTTTTCAGCTCTTAAGTGTCTTAATAGAGCATGAAATATTTTTATAAGGTTTTGGGGAAAAATAGCTGTAACTACTCTTACAGTTATTCCACAGTTGGAGTAAAATGGGAGTAGTCTTTTTCTTAAAAGAATAACTTGGTGTTTATTTTGACCCTAAAGCAACATCACTGCTAACCTTTCACCACCAACCTTTCACATGTAGGAGAATAAGAGCATTTTTAATTAACTTTCCCTTTCTTTTATTTTGCAGGAAAGTTTGTTCACCCAGAAATACTCCAGCTTGTATCTCTGATTAACACAGAAAGGAATAAAAAAATAGCTGCTGCATCTCATCCACATTCCTGAAGTGTTCCTAAATGCTGTAGCTATAATAAATATTTTGTTTTATATTCTGTGCATTATTTTTCTTCCCATAACATTACTAATTCTGCCGCAGATTTTTCTTCTGTGCATTCACTGCTGAGAATCCCAGGACCTCTTAGATAGGAGCAGGTGGGATAGTTACCTCCCAGATTAGAGGTTATGTCAAGGATCAAATATTTAGAATGAGTGTGTTTGGCTTTTTTCTTTTTTTAATCAGCCTCTGATTGATGCAGTCTCAGTAACAAATAGATTCTTCACTGGGGAAATTCAGGTAAGTTTAAAAATTAGCTGATTACAATCTAGCCTGTTCATGTAATGCACTGACTGGGACAGGCGGTCTTGTTCTGTGACTGCTAAGTATATATGGATTTAAGTACCTTCTATATCAAATGGGTTAATACCTGTTCACTGCGCTACACAGAAGCGAGACCAATGAGTACATTTCTCTATAAGCTCTTGACGGAGCCAGACTTAGACTTAGAGATGAGATTTCTTTGGAGTGCGTAAGCCTTAAGAAGTGATGGTGGATAAAACCGGTAATCTCATTAATTACATTTTCTCAGTACGTTTATTGTTTCACACAGTTTTTCCACTGCTCGTGTGTTGTATCAGGGAATGGTGCTGAGATTTCCGTAGGCCAGTATTCCTGACTCCCCCTCACCGCAGACTGGCAATTTTACAGACTCTTGCACAGGTAATTGATGATCACAGAATAGCTGAACTTGGGAGGGACCTTTGGCGCTTGCACAGCCTAATGCAGAAGCCTGTACGCCCATGTAAGGCTGGCCGTCCCTGGTTAACGCTGTTGCACGCTGGTACTGATTCTGCTGTAAATGACAGTTTTTAGTGGAAGTAATAATGCTAGTGTAAAAGTACAGTATGGTTGTCAAGTAAAGGTGTAGTGGTGGTAAATGCCATAATGAGGCCAGTCTGCACTACTAAGTGTTGTGTCATGTGTGCAGCTGGAGATTAGGGCGATGTCACAATTGCCACATAATGAAAGTTTGCACCTGGAAAAACTACATGGTAGAGACCTGGAGAGAGGCCTGGTAGAGACCTCTGTCTTCAGCCTCGTGTCAAATGAGGCAGCGTAAAACTAAATTCAGTTGTCATCCCCTTTAAAGGTAGGTAATCTAGCTGAGCGCACATTTCAGGCACCATGACTCCAGGAAATGTCTCCTTCACGCAAACTTCGGGGGCCTGAGCACATTGGTGCAGGGGAGACGTGGGGCGCCTGCTCTGCCCAGGGAAGGGTGCACAGACCTCTGCCCACAAGGCAGCAGTTGTGCCCTACGGAGAGCCTGGAGGAACCAGCTGCACCTTACTGAGCAATAGGAAACTGATCAGTGGTTATTGGTGGCGGGTTGCCATACTGCAAGGGTGATGGAGTGGGGCCTGCTGAGCTTTGTCCAGGGCTCATCGTTCTTCAGCATTTTTATTCCACCGAGATGTCTACAAACCATAGTCTCTATTAGTTTGTATTGAATGCCAAGCATTAAAGAGCTACAGATGAATTGGAAGAGAATTGAGAACAAGAAAAGCGGCCTTAAAGAGACGTTTGATAGCGCAAGCGCTACCCCAGCAGGAAGAGTCGGTTCCTCCAACGCAGCAGGAGGCTTTACTGGCTGGTGACACGCCGTTCTGCTTGGGGTCTGGGGGACGGCGTGCTGAACCCCAGTCAGCGGGGCAATGGTGCAAGAAAGGTGACTATTATTCTGAGAAAGAGAGGCACGGTTTGAGTGTGCATTGTGTGGGGTTTGGTTTGTTTAAAGAAATCCAGCAGGTACTTTGTGTAAAATTACATTCCCTTCAACGCACTGCAGGTGTAGTTGTGTGTCGGTTTTGGGCACTGCCTTTTAATAGAAGTAGGAATAATAGACTGGAGGAGAAGGTGTGATCAGAAAGCATGAGCCGTGACGACAGGCTGATAGAAAGGTTAGCAAAGAGCCTGTGGGGCTTCAGGCTTCCTAACACAGTACCGAAGTGCGCTGTTCACGTGTCGGGAAAGTGTGCTAGGCCCTGGACACGCGACCTGTGAGAGGAAATCACCTCCTCCCATGTCTTTCTCCTGATCTATTCTTATCAGCATTGAGCCTACACATAGCGGCAGCTGCTGTAATGATGGTAACATGTAAGGATTTATATGGAAGAGAAGCTTGTCTGGCCAACCTACCTCCACCAAGTCATACTCACACAAGTGCTTTAAATTGTGCCCTTTATGAACATAGTTAAAAGCAATTTACTGCTTTCTCAGAAGCATTCTTCTATGTGTATATGTATATACATACACATATAAATAAAACGAGGTCTAAATAGGTGTTCTGTAGAATATGACAGTGCTTGGACTCCACGTTTAAACCTTGGTGTGGCTGAAAGCTCCAAAGAAGGTCAACAGTTTTAGACTTAGGTGTTTTCTGCCATGCACTTCACTTTTACTGAACTTGGTTCAATTACTTTTCTTCTTTGAACCTCAAATTTTTCAGAACTTTGGCCACAGATTTCCATGGGGAATTTCAGGTCCAGAAGGGACTGAACAGATTTTTAAAACTGTAGGAATGGCAGATTATGTTCTTGCAATTTACCCTGATATTCTGCTGTGACAGAGCAAGGCTTAGAGATGCGCAGTAATACTGGTAAATACACAGAATTAAAAAGAAAACATCAAAAAGTGTAAAAGAGTAAGAGAAATTTATTTTTAATAAGAATATCAATAACTTCATTTACACAAACTAAGGTGACCATTAGTATCTTCTTTATTTAAATAAATTCACATTTATGCACACACAAAATAAGCTAGCAAACTCACAAGAAAACTGTACTAAAAAAACCTAATTAAATTTGCTTCCATGCTAAAAACACAATAAAGAGGCATTTGATATAAATGTCCAAAGTTAACCTATGTCCCGTAGAACATTATGAAAGGACTTCCAACTTTGTAAAAACTATAACAAAAGCCACATAGGAAAAAATCACTTAAAGCCAAGTTTCCTCACAAGATTTTAAGCAATCTGTAATGTCAAACTCACTAACACCGATTTGAAGCTTTGGCTTATGCTCAAAAAATGCATCCATTTTAAAAGTAGCCAGACTTTTCTATATTTTATTGATAAAGTTGCGCTCATCTCAGTCTGGCGAACTGAGTAATGCAACATGCAGACTGACGCGCTCACTAGACAGCAAGATAGTGTCACAAGTGTGCTACTCTTTTCTTAGAAAAAATGTTAAAAGAATGCAAGAAAACATGCTGAAGCAAAGCTGAGAGATGACTGGCTCTTGGTGATTAAGCAGATATAATATGGTTGCTGGAACTATGTCCTGGAGTGAAGAATGACAAAATTTGACACCAAAAGTGAAGTATCTTCTTGTCCTGTGTGTTGTAAGATAACAGGGTTTATGCTAGCAGCTCTGAAATGCGGACTGAAGGCATGGGCTCTCTAACCTATGGCACATCTTAAGCCAATTGTTGGTTTTGTATTCTTTCACTTAAGGCTGTATTTTGACTGAGGCTCATAAATTTACCTTCCCTTATTTTTGAGGGGAAGATACGGAGGCAAAATTATTAGAAGCTCCCTCTGCTCCACTTGGCTTTGTAATTAACTTAACTTATACTTCAAGTCTTATCAACGCACAGAGAGCAAGCAATGGAACATATTTTTAAACTGAAGCTTTTCCAGCTACAATGATCATCTTAAATCAGCAGCTGTGATCAGTTCCATTTCTGTATCAGTAACTGGGTGTCTCCTCCTGTCCTCCTTAACTCTGCTGACTAATGGGTGGAGGGCAATGCCAGACTGTACCAGTGAAGGAGAAAAAACTTTTTACAACAGTAAGTGATTTAATTCCCTTAGGAAATAGATCACGTGCAGACAATCCTGAGTAAAGGGCACCTGGTATGGCTGGTAGACAGCTGGTATATGGACTGTTGCTGGCAGCAGAAATCTTTGCACAGCTCTAGGTCCATCTGTCTGATGTGGCACTGAGAGGGGAGTTGCAAACCAACAGACAGAAAACAGTAAACTAAAAGAAATAAGAAACAGTCTGGGAGATTGTGGAGGGAAGTTACGTGAAAATGAAAACTATTTTGGTCCCTTAACATAGAATTTAGAGCATTGTAAGTCAATGACTTGTGTATGGTTTCTATGGTGTACAAAGTACCTGATGATAAAATGGCCCATCCAAAATACAAATAGAGAGAGGAAATGTTTCTCCAGCACAAGGCCAGGGAGGCAATTTTCCAAAGCTGACAAAACCTTGTTGCACAAGCTGGGTGGTGAGGGAGGCTGGGCAAGTCTCTGAAGAGAGGCATGTGCGGCTCAGGAGGGCCTGTGCTCTAACACTGAAGCTCTTCTTCACTCTCAGGGAGTCGGGTGCCAGCAAGAGAGCTCTGAGCGCTGGCATGGGCTGTAGAGCTGAGAACTTCTTCAAAACTGCCCCCTGTGTGGCTTGTCCCACCAACCTTAGTCTGAAACAAGGCAAACAAAGAGAACAGCAAGTTCCTCTGCTCACGCTGTAGCAAGTCCCATTTGTCCTATTCCACCCCATGACCATGGAGGGCTGGGAACTGTTCGAAGCAGGCAGAGAACGTGTGGGGTTTTTCTTAGAACAAAAGCTATAAAAACAGTCAAGTAAAGCAACCCCTTTCCTCCCCCAATTTCTAAACTTCCAGACTGCAATCATAAAATCTACCAGTGGCATTTATCATATGCTTAAAAGAACCAGTCCCTAAGTAGATCCCAGGTAGGATCCTAGATCCTACCAGTAAACTTATGTAAAGAACCACACTGAGTAGCTCACACCGGTTTCACTGTTTTTTCCAGTTCTATGCAGGTTGAATAAGAGATGGGTATTAAAATGAACTGGTTCATTTGCTGAGTAAAGTGGCCCATCTGCCAGCAATGGTAACACAGCTACTCTCAAAATACACAAACCGTACTGGGATTTTGGACAGTAGAAAGAATATAGTAACCAAAGAACAAAAGCAGCAGGCTGTCTCCCTTTAGGTACTTTCAGCTGTCTAGATACTGATACATAAAACTGCCCCCAGCACTTTCCTGTGGAGAGGGTGGGAGGAAATATCAAATTACATTAACGAAACATATGACTATGTGCTCACAGGCTATCTACTTTCAAAATGCTTCAGTTGGCTGAATTTGTAAATAAAAGCATTAAAAAGAAAAACCAATATGACTAAATCTCTGAAATAGAGTTTTCCTAACAAAGACAGAGATCTATCTAAAGATTTGGAAATGGTCAAGACTAAGTGACGAAGAGACAAAGCTGTTTTGACTGGGTTATCTGGTAAGAGAACATTCTTTTGTGGTTTGGCTTGCTGATATGCCCACTCGAAGTTGATTCAAGTCTGAAAATAGGGCAAAACTTTTTTTTACTCCATCTTAGAACTGCAGCAGGACTTAAAGACAAGCTGGCATTTTTCCAGCCTGTCAGCCACTGAATGCTCAGGAAGATTATTTTAATTAAATGAACTTTGTGTCCTAAGTTTCCAAGGGGTTAATCCTATATAATCCTTTGCTTCATCAGCTAGCACAGGAGCTTGCCTAACTTGAAAGTTCAATAAAAGGAGGTAGTAGTAGGCTTGCTATTTGCTCTGACAGTTTGAGTCACAGTTATTAAAAGTTCCCAGCTCAAGAGGTAAAAATCTGTATCCAGTCTAGTGGGCTGAGCTGACTTTCAGAAAGTATTGGTCCATCACTGATTTTTGCAAATAGCAATACAAAATACATATATTGTTAAATGTCGGTAGGCCTGAACTTGCAGTGAAAAGGCAGCCACTGCCTAGTAAAGCTACTACTAAGTTTTCACGGCAAAACTCATGACTTTTATTTGCCAATTAAAATTCTCAAAAGAACACTGATTCAGACTGATCAGAGTGATTGTGAAAGTAGGCTATTCCTGCACTATTTCAAATGACTCAGATGCATCTGAATTTGGACACCTCAAAATCAGAAACATTAATGTAGTTCGATTTTCTATTTGCTTTTCTGCCTACTTTTCCATCTGAAAACAAGAATGACGTAATTTACTTTACTGAATGCCTCTGGCCAATACCCCAGTGTTTACACAAACATCTAATTAATCAGTGTTCTGATTTTCAGAAAAGTTGAAGAGAGTTGGGCACCCAGGTTCTGTTGATTTCCAGGGAAAGCTGAACTAATACACTCTCCTAAGAAAGCTGCAACACAAAGTCCAAACTCTAAGAGCAAATAAAATCTAATTTGAAATTTGACTTCTAAATGTATGAAATCTGAACGTGAGTTTTAGCTGACTACAGAACATTGTAGGACCACTGATGATCTGTAACTTACATGGGGGGGGAGATGATAATGCTACTGCTGTTCTTTTCTTTTGTCAGAAGCCTCTCTGGGAAGTTATCCACTTTTTCAGACCACAACAGGATCCTAGAATGGAAGGGACAGCCTATGATGTCTCCCTCACCCCGCCCCGCCCCGCCCTCTGGTCTTCCTAATCTTGCAAGCCTTGGAACAGAGGCAGGGAAAATGAAGAACAATGCTGAGACATTCCCAGTTGTCTACAGCCTACATTGGTGGTACCCTAGGTCCATGACTCCAGCTTCCCTTTCTCCATTTGCACAAAGAAATGAAAGAAAGAGAGAGAATACAGACAGAAAATGATTCAGAAAATGTCAGTGGGTTTGCCAATAAAGATGGACAATGAAGGTTTCATGGCATGTGGAAGATGACTTCAGACTCAAGACTTTTTGTTTTGTCCTGCTTAACTAAAGATTCCTTAAAGAAAGATCTAAGAGCACCCTGAACACATGATAGGCTAAGAGCTGGCATGACCAATAGTCTCCTCTAGAAGAACGCCTCTTCTTAATCAGCAAAATAAGATCAGGCTCCTCAAGTAGATCACTGTGAGAAGAAATGAGCTGTGCAGTTTGAATTAACTTTTCCTCTTTCTGAATGACACACTGAGGTGACTGGAAACAGACACCCCACTCCTGATGCAGAAAGGACATCACTCACTCTTATCCTTTACCCCTCAAAGCAAGGCAAAAGGCTTTAAAGCTGTCCCTCTCACAGGTTGGCCGTAAGTGTAGGAGGAATGGATTTGTGGAGTCTAGAGTAGTCTAGAAGCGAACTTCGGAGCTAGAAGTACTACTGAAAGCCCTAAGGGTAGGTTTAGTGACTGAATGACTAAATGGGTACAAAAAGTGCTGCACTTTTCCAATGTAGTTTCATCTAACTAACTTGTAAGTGGTGAAAAATGCAAAAAAAAAAAAAAAAAAATCCATTTCAGATCTCAGGTGTTCCAATGAGCTGCATCCGTTATCTAAATGTGTAGAAGTACAAGGAGCATAAAGAGATAAGCAAGCCATACACTTGACTGCAACAGACAGGAATTCAGACCTTCCAAGCTGATGCACCTCACTGCATGAATGATTTCTCATACAGTGAGGTTGAATAATAGAAGCATTTGCAGTGAAGGTTAGAAGAATGAATAGGAAGGTGTATACAGGCACTGACCTGGGGCTCTGGAGGTCTAGTGTTCTGCTCTAGCTCCTTGGGATGTTCCTAGTCTTCCCTGGGAGGCTGCCTCCCACCTGTGAAACTAAGATGATGTTTCCTTCTCTGACACTGCAATGGAGATGACGTTACCCTACATTATCATGACTTAAAGTTGTCAGAACAGCCTATCACTAAATAAATGTGAACATTCAAAAGGTGGAAAAAATAAAGCAACTCTGCATTCTTTGATGGACATGTGTCTTTAGAAACATAAATCAAGCTCTCTGCTACCTACTTTCCTCAGACACTGACTAGAAAATTTTATCTCCTGTATGATTTCACAGTGGCATGAAAAAGACAGACCTTCCCTGTGCACCTGCTGCTTCAGTTCTAGGTGTAATTTGCATTTTCTATAACAAAGAATGTCCTTCTGTCCCAAGTGAAAGGCCATTTTCTTGCCTTTTTAATGCTTTACAAGTTGTAATGCCCTTTGACATTAATCTAGTATTTTCAGTTCCCCCTAAAATGAGGGGTGATCATTTTGGCCGTTGTCCACTGACAGACTGTACTTGGAGTGCGTTGGAATCTTTCTGTTGCAGCAAAGTAAAATGCCATTTTATGAGCACACTTGACTTTATCTGATGAGTAATAACCGTTAGGAGACAAACCCTCTTGTTCTCCCCTTGAATGTGCCTCACCATGCAGCAAAGATTAGCTCACTGCAAATTTGCCTTGCTCTGTCCTGCCGAATAAGAGCCTTAACAAGTGCTATTAGTGATAACTGGTAACTTTGCCATCAGATCTTCCTGTCCCACAGCAAATATGTCAATATAGTTTTGAAATTTTAAATCCAGACAAAACATCATTGAAATCTGAGAGGAAACACACCTGCATTAAAGAAAGGCGAGTTCAGTGCTAAGAGCCACACAGGTAGTGCGAATCACACCTGAGTTACACAACAGCTCCCACCAGCTGAGCAAGGGGCACTTGGTGAGTACATCTCCAGTATTGAAAGGAGTGTAGCTCAGGGATGGAAGTTCACTCTGCAAGGCACACAGCTGCGTCTGTCTGGCAGGGCACATCACAAAACTCATGAGGCCACGCTGCTTTCAAAATCTGACCTTGCAGCTGCACGTGGCTCTGCCTTGCACAGCATAATGAACTGTGGTCACACCTTATGAGACGTCTCTGCTTACCATTTTAGCATGGCCATATTTTTGGCATTTCTGAGAACATTTGTTTACTCTGGCAGACAGCAGAAGTAATTTCTTAGTAACAAAGCAGAGAAAGACTATTTGTCTGCATATTGCCTTCACTTTCCATTAGTGCTCTTGCAGTTCGGTGAAATTCTTGATGGAACAGCAAATTCAACCAGCCTCCTGTACAAATGACAGGGACAACTAAGCTGCCACACTTTAACACACATAGCCATGTAACTCTGCCTCTAACCTGTACCTTAAGGCTTGTGACAGTGGTCTCAACCTTCTCCTCAAATGACTTGAAAGTTGGAGAATTCCTAGGAGAAAAAGAAAGTTGAAGGAAAGAAGAAGAGTCAGCTGATGAGCAAGTTCATAATCTACGTAATTAAAAAGACAACAGTTTAATGTCCCAAGGCTAGGATGAAGGAGATTAGAATTAGATAGGAAGTGGGTCCCAAATGCCTTTGAGGAATCCCAACCCCCCACTCCATGATTTTGTGACCACAGGTGTATCCTGCTGCTTTCAAAAACAAAGACCTTAGGGAGACTGTGTTCCAAGGGTGCCCCTTTGACAAAGCTAAGCTTTTCTTTGCTTTTCACTCGCCGAAGAACAGAACACAACACTGTTTTCGGGAAAACTGTGAGTTGAACATATCTTAAAAGAATTAAAAAAGAAAGGCAACAGCTGTGATTTTCCGTCTTAAAGCAAATCACATATTTGGTTTGCTGGCTTGCCTGACAACCTTGTTCTTTTATTTCTTTCTCCAAAACTTGAAACATAGCTTCTCTTTCATTTTAAATGCATCCATTTTTTTACATTTCTTCCTGCAAACAGGACATACTGACCACAACTAATATCTGCCACGTAATATTATGAATATAATGCATATGCTGTTTTAAAGTGAGAGTATGGATCCCCATGGAGATCTGTACTCAAGTTGCCCCTCAGTTGCTTAGATGGATGTCTCCCCTTTTCGCAGCAGCTTCCCCACTGCTGATAATCCCTGTCCCATGTAGGAAGACATGCGAGAAGCAGGCAACCTGGAGTGAGTACAAAAGCTCGTCTCCTCTTCCAGCAGGTTAGCCACCACAAAGGACTTGGGCAAACCTAGAGTGGGTAAAGGGGACCTTTTTCTGGTTCTCTGCTCCTTGCTTGCCAAATGAGCGCTCAATTATAGCATACTTTGTGCTTCATTATTAGTGAAGACTCTGCAGCTCAGAAACTGTTGTCCAGCAGGGTTCCTCTTGTACTTTCTTTACCGTAAGAACCAAAGAGGTGACAGGACCTCTCTAAGCCCAGTGCAGTATAATGAAGCAGTTACTTAATCGAGTGTTTAGTTCTTCAGCTTTTTTTTCACCTGTCTATTGTGGTATATCCAGAAAGAGATTATTGAAACTACTGCCACTGAAAGCGCAGGGTACCTTCTAACAACATGGCCAACAGGATGTACTCAAAACACTGCATCCATTTGTTCCTACGTGAAATAAAACATAACAGTGATCTTCAACCATAACGGACGGTACCCTCACAGTGGAACAGTGAGGCAGAACCACTTTACCCCGGCAGGTGCCCATGCCCCTGTGTCATCCACAGGGAAAGGCAAACACAAGCAGGAGCCTGCGCTTCATTTTGCAAAGCGATGAAGCCAATGGCTGCTAAAACTTCAGTGTTCCAGTTCATCCTCTTTGCACATTCTGGGAACTTACCAGGAGCACGATGATGGCCTCTATTTCTGCAAATACATTTACATCACCTCCCTCATCAGGCTAAGTTAAACTGACCCTAATTTAAGGAAAGGGCAAACAAAAGCCAGTTGGAAAAATAATGCAGATTTACTTTTGTTTTCTGTTAAATAGGTGACAAACTTTTCACAGGGCAAGAAGGGTCAAAAGGAGAGAGAAATTGAGTTTTATGACTTACATTTGACCCATAGGTCACACTGGTGAATGCTTGCCTTAAACCATCCACATGCTGAAGTTGAATGAATTAACATCCATCATATAGTTAGGAGATTTGTTTTCCCCACATGCTTGGCAGGGAGTGGGGATATTCATATACTTAGAGGCTGAGGGCGTAAAAAAAAAGCTGGATCCTAATTTTATTGAAAACAGTCAGAGCTTTACTTGAACAGGCATCAATATTTGGCTGCAGTCAAGTAAAGCATGATTATAGCCATTAAAATATGAAAGCACTCATATAAAATCCCTCCATACGAGCAGGAGCCAAAGCCTGCTAGAGTGGAAAGCATCTCTGACGTTAATGGGCTTTGGATGACGTTCTAGAGACAGCAAAACAACTGAATTTCAGATTCAGTAATACAAACTTGATAACAATGATCTACCCAAATACATCTCAGAACTGCTTCGTTTCCTCAAAGGCTTGTACGAGAGATTAAAGTTAATACAATTAAAAGGAAGAAAACACAGATCACCTGTCCTGCAGCCCTTATCTACATGAATAACCTTAACTGACTGAAGTGGGACTATTCATCCAACTAAAAATTGCAGGATCAGGATCAAAGTATGCACATCCCCCCTCACTACACTGTTGAACATCACCATAGCAAATTGAATATGGGTAGCATATTACCTCATCGCAGGCATGCTTATGGAATGGCGAATAGAGTAACTGTGGGATGAAAGCAAAAGATAAGGAAAAAAGCTGTAAAATCCAGTTTGCAACATGATTATAGCATATATTTTTTATTTTTTTAAATTAACTTTAAAAAAAAAAAATTTCAAGAGTGCTGGTACTCTCCCTCTCCTGATGGCAATAGCTTGTCAAACTCACCTGTGAATTCCAGCTCACTTTCAGCACTGAAGATCTTACCACTACATTCTCATTCTCATGTCAACTGATCAGCAATTTAATAGGGCTCAAAAGAATGATGCAAAACAGTTCCTGGCAATATCCATTTAAATGACAGAGACGTGCAACATGAGACAGAGGAACAGAGAGCTACCTCCGTGTTCTGCAGTGACAGACGATAAGCTCCGTGTTGGGTGAGTACAGTACACCTCAGGTTTGTGAACATAACTAGAGCTGGTTCAAGGCAGCAGGGCAGTAGGCAATTGCTTGCCTTTGTTGCACAGTTCAAACAGCCAGTGCCAGCCCCCAATTTGTGTAGGCTCCTGCACAAAAGGCTACCTAAACAAGAGGTTCCTTCAACCAGACGGATAGCTCTCTCAGCTGCAGCAGTTGCTGTCCCCATCTTCCTAGGACATTTCACCTTCTTCTTCACACCTCAACACTACCAAGGGTAGAAAGCTGTTTTCCACAGCTCTCATCCAGCTTTCCTTGCCACGCTTCCCTCCACAGACTTCGCAGCAGCAAGACTATCGGAAATATCGGAAGGTTGGCAAGTGGAGTAACAAGCCTCTGCATCACTCAAAGATCCCCAAATCCTCTTGCACACCTTCAACCCTGCAGATGGCCACTCACCCTAACCGCTTGACTTACATTAGCCACATTCTCCCACCTGAGCCACCAAAGCCAACTCTGCTATGATATCATCATCTATTCCCTACTGCTGGGAAGCATCAAGCCTGTTCTGAATATGAATCTTTATTTGAAGTGTAAGAACTGTCCATAAGTACATTTAGATCTGAATATTATAAGTAAATTGTGCACTGCAAGAGTATGTATTGTTTCAAAAATTCCTGCATGGCTACTTTCAGTGTTGACTGTCAGCTGCAGCCTGGTCTGATTGAGAACAGTGGGAGCTTTACTTTAAGAGTCACCAACATTTGGCTGCAATCAAGCAAAGCATGATTATAGCATTAAAAAATGAAAGCTCTCATATAAACAGCACATGTGTTTGTTCTAACCTATACAAATTCAGAGCAGCACTGTGTATATACATATACACACACAAAAGGTGGTTTTTTTCCCCCAGATTAAAGATTCAGAAATGGGGGCGGGGAGAAGAGCTATTTGGCAAGCAGGTGGAACAGAGAGATTTTATACGAACTGTTTGCTGTTGTGTATATTTTAAGGCTTCTGCTAAGCTCAGATAGACAAGAACTGACAACAGACAATGCAAATGTTTCATGTTCAATTTTTCATATCATTTTTAAGACTTACGAAAGATTAGCCCAAACATTTCACAAGTGCAACAAATCTTTTAACAATCCTAGTTAAATTAAACAAGCATGCTTGCTATCTTAGTCTTGTAACACATGACAAATAGGCAAAAATAAGAATTTGGAAGTATTTCAGGATAGGCTGCTCCTCTTCTAATAGCAAATACGAAGGTTTAAGTAAGAAGATTACATTGTGCCAATTAAATTCGCACAGCTGGCATGTGACAGACAATCTGAATACTAAGTGCACATTTCACTCAGTTCATCTTTTAATTTCTCTGAAGAGGTAAGGATGCCAGTTATAGGAACAGTGACAACATCTTCTTTTACTAGAAGCCTAAAACATTAAGCTTTTTTAAAGACACACGTCTGTGATGGTGATCAGTGCAGAGGACATTACATTTTGGTTTCATGTCAGAGTGAGAGAGAGAGGTCAATCTATACCCATTTTTAAGTTTTTTTCAGTGAAGTAAGAGTCCGTGTTGGATTACTTAGCTGAACAGAAAAATCATTGAGCTGTCCCGTGCACTGGTGATGCTACAAGGCCAGAGGGGCCTCGGGGCTGTTCAGCTCCTCTGCTGGGTGAACTGACGTAAAGCCAGACCGCTTACAGACTCTTTCAGCACACATAAAATTGCTTATAATTCATCATATATTGAAGTGCTTTACAGCATCAATAAATTCAAGCTCTAAATATAAAGACCCCTTTTAATCATGTTAAGAACTTGGCCTACTATTGGAAATTTCCCTAGGACTCAAGACTTTTAAAGAGTCACCATGTACACTTCATGACTAATATACTTTTGCTTTATTGAAGAGGAGGTAATTAAATTCTTTATACAATTATAAAACTCTGCTGGCTGAATAGAACTTTTACTGAGCACTTGCTGTTTATGTTCCAAACTCTGACAGAAAAAGATGGTTGAGAGAATGGGATTACATATAAATCGGTTTTCCCAAGAGCAGTATCTTTTGAATGTGTTCATTATTTGAATTTGTGACTAGCCTACTCAAGAGCAAGGCAAACACACTCTAGCCATTTAGTCCAGTCCTTTCCTCATTATACTCACCATGCTGTAAAAATGAGGCATTACAGTGTAAGTAGCACATGTTTTAATCATATATAATGATGCTGAAATGAAAGAGGTTACTGCATTACATTCCATAAAACAAATCCTCTCAAATACAAAGGCAGTATTCAAGGAGAGTAATGTGTCTTACCCAATTGAATGCGATCTGTGGTGGATGCACAAGGAAAGAAAAGCAAGAGTTAAAAGTATTATGAAAATGTAACAAAAATATACATATATATCTGTAGCATGTCAAACTGCCCGAGGAGAAAAATAAAATCATTTGCATTCAGATCTTGATGCTGGAATTCACACTAGAATGTGGATCAGTTGAGATTCCTTCAAAGCAAAAATTGTCACACACTCCTTCACTACGCAGTCACCTATTCTGTGTGCAACAAAGAACGGAAGTTTTGTCTGCTGAACTTTGTGTTCTCTTCATTAGATCAGATTTAAACAATGCTAACTGGTTTCCTTCCCAAAATCCTACCTTAATCTCATTAAAGAGAAAGTATAGGCGAACTGGCATTGTACATGTACATCAGCAGCAAATGTCTTTTTTTCCCTCTGGATTTCTTAATCATCTCTCAGTTGAGACGGGAATGGAAAAAATAAGGGGCTTTTAATTCCTAAAATGACATTTTCTAAAATACTTCTTCCTTGTTGAAAACAATACTTGAAACACTTTGACACTGTTTTCCAGCTCACAAGAAACTTAATTAAGGCAGCAGAACTGGGAGAGGCACACTGATATACAATATTCAAAGGATGTTATTAAGGTTCCAAAGTGGAGAAACGATGAGGCGGACAGCCTCCCCTTCATCTGTGTGTTATTGATGTAGTCTTTAATTACAGACCACTTCAAGGGAACACCTGCCTCATGCAGCGAGCCAGATAGATGGTGCACACTTAATGAACATGAATACTTATTTTTCACATCCTTTTTCAATGTATGGTGTGATGCATATTTACTGCACAATATTCATACCTTGCTCTGAAGAAAAGCATTGATTTCTTCAGGGTTATTTACAGGGCTCATCATCATGTATATTGGTGCTTCCCAAACACTCATGGATTTATCTTCACACCACATTTCTGCTTAGACCAACTTAAGTAATACTGTTGCCATACGTAGCCTCCTTTTACTACCTGCTGACTCCCAGTAACAGCCACCCTGTTCCCCATGCTAATACAGATACTTGTACAGCCATATGATAGGGAAATCTGTGTTACTGCAGAGCTCTAAAAACCAGCACAAATGAAGGGGCGACTGTCAGTAGAAATGAGAGAAGACAACTGCTTCACCCATCAGCAAAAGAACTGCTTATGAAATTACATTCTGAAGTAAGACGATATTACTATTTCCTTTATAGGGGTTATCAGAGACAGAGGTTTAAGAATGGTAGTTTTGAGTGTGACAGCTACAGTATTTCAAGGAATTCAGCTCCCAATAAGTTCAGTAACAGTTTTAAGTGCCCAGAACATCCCTAAATCATGGAAATCCTGGAAATGCACAGAAAAAGGCTGTGCAAAAACTCCACCACCACAACAAAAACCCCAAAAAGGCACAACAATAAAGGCACAGCAAAAATAAACTCCCACAGCACTAAAGCAGATTAATTATACCTGAGCCACCTCCAACAGATATTGGCCTAACCTCTTCTAAAAACCTCCAATGAAAGAGATTTCACAGCCTTCAGAAATAACCTGTGCCCCTGTTCAGCTTTATAGCTGAACGCTTTTCCTGATCTCTCACATTAACTTACTACACCCTCCCTCTCCTTTCATTATTCAGCCACATTTGTCTAGCCTAAAAGCCAACTCATTCAAACACTCTCACTGGCTGTGTTTTCTAAAGTGGATTTTTTTTTTTTTTTTTAAATATTTTTCTCCCCATTCCTTCCAATTCATCTGCACAACCTTCGAAGGGCAGTGCCCTTGCACTGGCCCGAATACTCCACCTGAGTCCTCATTAGAGCAATTCTCTCCTGAATCTTATAGACAACACTCTTAATTCCAGCAAGTGTTACTAGTATGTATTAGCAACAATAGCATGACAGCATCGACTCCTGCTGCATTTGTGAGCCTCTAGCCTAGCACTTGCTAGGCCCTCATCTGCAAAGCCACTGCCCAGCTGGCTGGTCAGTGCTCCCCACCTCTGCTTTTAATTTTTTTCCATCTGTCAATAAAGCACCTTACACTTAATTTTATTTTATCATTTAAAATAAATTTGAATTCTAATCCTGCTGTCTAAAGTGCTTGCATTCCCTCCCACGGCAGTCATCTGGGGATTTTAAGTGTACACATGATGCCACCGTCTAAATCTGTAATGAACATGCTGAAGAGTAACAGACTCAGGACAGATGCCTGCAAAATCCTGCATTATGGTGAGCTACTGAGACCCATTGTTTGAAAATAATTTTCAACTCCCTACGCCCTCTTCCTGCAAAAGCAGTAACACCTAAACTGTATTTCTCTAGTTCACTTACAGGAGCAAAACCAGCATGGACAGCCTTATCAAAGTCAAGCTCTATCACACCTCCTGCCTCTCCTCCGTCCTCTATGGTAGGTGCTGTCAGTTCAAGATAATAGTTCTTGACAAACCCTTTTAGGTTTTTGCCATCATGCTCTCTTCTAGATGCTTAGAAAATAACAGGTTAATGCATTTCTCCAGTTTCTGCTTTGTATTTCCCTTGCCCCTTTCCAGAGGGTTGAACTTTGCCTTCTTCCACCCCTCTGGGACCTCATGTGCCCTCTGTGCTGATTCCTGTCGTCTCTGAAGGGCACATTCAACTGCCACAGTCATGCCCCCAAGCTCTCCCTCCCTGCAGTCTTCTGTCTCTTTCCACGTGTGCCTTGCAACTCCTGGCAGGAATGAGGCATTATATTACCTTTATTCATCTTTAGAGCTGGCTCATCCCAGGCACTGAATTTGAAAGGGGTCTGTGTGATCATGTAATTAAAGAAAATGTAAGAGACAGTTGAATGAAGGATATATAAGCAGTATAACTGCTGACGTCCTAATTTGCATGCATGCCTTTGTGAGCTTAATCTTTAAATGCATTTACTTGTGTAGTAGTAATGTATGTGGTAGTGTGCATGTAGTAGTGTAGTGTACGTAGTTTCCTTTTTTTTTTTTTTTTTTTTAAAAGCAAACAAAAAAATCAGAAAGTCTCCCACTTGGTATCACAACTTATTTCTAAAAAGGCCATCAGCAGGGCTGAAACTCTTAGATCCACATAGACAGCTGCAGAGCAGTCCACCGGTATTGCATGAAAAGATCCAAACTTTACCAGTACGCAAAGGAGCAAGGGATAAATACGCTCAACTTCGTATCACATCTGTGCTTGACATGGCAATAGCCATGTTGAAATGTCAGTGCAACCTCTACTTCTGAGAGATTTGAGCCCACGCTACTGCCCTATGAGTGACCTGGGACTCCCCTCTTCCCCTTTGCCTTCCTTCTACATGTCAGAAAAAGTTAAATGAGATAATATGAGTTGGGGGTGGAGGGCCAACAAAAAATCCTGATGGCATATCATTAATCACAAGAGCTATTAATGAAGAATCTATTATCTTAACTGTATTACTAGTGCCTGGTTTGTATCCCAAAGCAAAAGCAGGTGTATACTGGTTTTATACGCATTTCTGGTATTTCTAGTAACATGATAATATTAAATAGAATGCATTACAACTGTAAAGAGACCTTACAAGCACTAATAATTAATAGCAAATTTAGAAGATGTAAAATGCTAATGATTATTCATGCACAAAATGAATTAGAGAATTGCGACACTGGGAAGCTGGGGTGGGGATGACAGAGAAGCACAGCAGCTGCATGAAAAGCACTTTGTCCCAACAGGGTGGCTTCTCTGTTCTTTGGGACACATGGAATTTTGTCATTTTTCTTTCTTTCTTGTAGATTTCATCTTCTTGAATTCTAAAACAGCAAAATAGCACATTCGGGGGAGCCTATCTGGCCTGTTGCTGATATATGATATTTTAGAGTAATAATATAGTAAATATTTTTAGAGATAATACAAGATGAAATATCTTTCAGGTTATTAATTAAGACCCTGCATCTTCAGAACAGACATAGATGTGTTTCATGTGGTGCTCTCTACAGTTGACATAGCAGGCAACCTGGGAAGCAGAATTTTGTTTCACAAAGAAGGCAGGCTTCGATATTTAGAGCCCGGCTGACTGCAAGCTCTTTCAAAATCACCATCGCCACAGGCAGGGGTTAAAGGCCAAACACACCAGACTGCTGAACATACTGGGAATTATGATGATCATCTGGATTTTAGAAATCAGTTTCAACTGTCTGCTCAGAATGAAAGCAGAACAGGGATTTGCATCTGGATGCCATTGGTGACTATCCGCCTTAATGCCTAACCATGAGAATTAAGCCAGAATCTGATGTGTGTTTAAATCAGCTTTATGGGAGGGGGCGGTGATAATCCGTATACTAGATCACTGAAATAAAATTATTTGCAAACAATGGAACAAAGAATGCATGCTCCCTTACAGCTTACTCCCCTAAACATGGCTGGCATTGGAGTGGGAGAGGGGAAGATTTTTAAAACCAGGTCATTTAAGTGACAAGGTTTACAGTGTGACTCCACACAGAACTGCACCTGCCCAAGTTGAGCCAAGATCTTAGGCCAGCTTTGTTGCTGAGGGAAGCATACTGACCATTACTCCAGATTTGGGATGTTCAGCAGATGCAGAAGGCCCAAGTCATGCCATACTTTATGTAACTATGGGATACCGCTTGCTGCTTCATCATCAAGTGACAAGAAAACTCTAACTGAGAACTTAACTGAAAACAGTAAGCATCCACAAAAAATGGCAATGCTGGTAGTTCATATTTTCCTGAAAAAATCCCAACCAGGTTCAAGGTAATAATTGTGATCAAAGAAAGCTGCTAGAAACAAGCTTCTAGATCAATCAAAATGCTTAGGGACTTAGCCTCTGCTTTGAGCCCTTGGCTAAAGGGCTAATGGGATAAATACCACGCATCTGCTTTCCAAGTGCTAGTCAGAAGCATGATCACCATGGGGGTGGGGTTGATACTGATAGGTAAGACAAAGGAATCTGGTAACAGTGATTAATTAAGGGAAATATTAAAGGAAAAACATGCTCTATTACAGTGAAGACATTTCTGCCTTTGCAGTTGATCTCACACCCTATGCAAAGCGCAAGCAACAGGACCTGAGAAGTACTGAATTGTTAGAGTCATCCTTCCCTCTATGATCAAGAGCCAGTGTTCAAGGTATTTGCACACCAACTCTTTGGTCACTGCTGTAGGATCTAAAGCATGGAACCAGCAACAGGATCTGTTCACTGAGCAGTGGGCTTGTCTTTGTTACAGGAGGAAGTGTTAGGAAAAAACAGAAAATGAAACAGAGGATATTCTGGTGCCACGTGCAGCACATGCATCTCATCCATTTCTCAAAAATACAGAATACAACTATGAATGCAGGGAAGACAGTAAGAATAAACGAAGGTAGGAAAAAGCAACTCATGCAACTGGAGCTTCAGCCTGGAAAAGAGGGAACTGAAGTGAAATACGATAAAACCACAGGAAATCATGAGAGACATGAAGGATGGCAGAAGGACTACTCTCACTGTTTCTCGTAATAGAAGAGCCAGAAGGCATCAAAGGAAAGATCAGGGAGACTCAGAATAAGGAATGAACGAACGAACAAATAAACCACACACTTCTTTACCACATAACTATCTCTTCACCTGGGGAGACATGAGGTGTTATGAATGTCAAAAGCTCACACAAGTTAAAATAAATAAAAAACCCCCAGATAAATTAATGAAGAAAAACCCTTCAAAGACTTTTAAATGAAAGCTCAAACCTCTGTTTTAGAAAGTTTTCAGCTCTCAGATTGCTGAATGCTAAAAAAAAGTACTAGGAAAATGTAACTGCATGCCTCCTTATTCTTATATCCCTTTCTAGGCATATACTACCTATGGATGTTTAACTGCATGGAGTCCAACAATTCTTAGTTTATGTTCATACCCTGGTTGCAAGTCACTCACCCGATTTCCATTTTAAACTGCAATGTGGAAAAAAAAACATTGTAAAGCAGATCATACAGTGATGAAGATTTTCCTTTTTTAGTTTCACCTAGAAAAACAGCAATACTTCTGTAGAGGGTTTATAAAGCTGTATGTAAAGGGTAGGTATACAGGAGGGACTCTAAAGATTTTTTAAGATTCAGATGAAAAGTAAAAAAGTGGAAAAAAAAAAGTTTTAGCTGCCAAGAACTATGCTTCAGCCATTTGCAGCAAAAAAACCTCATATATATTTGAAATACTGTAAAATGGATTCACACAGATCTTAGGATATGGTTACCTCATACATTACAAAATGACCAAAAAAGTGAGTACATACCAATATCTCTAATAAATGAGACGCTAATTCTGCAGCTCAAACAATATATTGTAGAGTTACCCTTGCCCATTTGTTTCATCACAAAAAATCAACTCCCTAAAACACTTGAGAAGAAGTTCTGTAATCCTGCTATCAAGCTAAAATCTTAAGTGCTGGTTTACAGTGTACAATTTCTTCATTTATGCTCTCATTCTGAGGAATTTCAAGACTGACACTTTTAAACACATATCAACATATAAAGCCTGACACTTAAGTTGCATTTATGTGACAGTTCTCCTGACCTCAACTCCTGTTACTTTCATCATATCTTTTTTTATCCATACAACTGCAGAACAAAACTTTGCCTTTGTACATCTTGAAAAAGCTGATAAAAAATAGCCTGAAATATCTTTCCACAAGCAGCTCCAAGGCAGGCTTGTTTTCTTCAGATGATATTGGTCTCCAGAATCCATGTATGAATAAAATTGGGTTAATAAAGATCTAAGAGCAATTTTTTGCTCCATTTTACTTGTACATTTCCTTGACCTTGCAAAGTTATTCCAAAAGGATTTCAAATTGTACTTTTTTTTTAAACCAGGACTCAAATAAGAATGATATCTTCATTCATCATTATCCCTTCTTTTTGGTTGAAACCATGAATGTTGTAAAATACTCTGACTACAAAGTAGTTGAACCTTTAAAACACTAATGCAGAAGGAAAAGAAGAGCTGACAAATGACTTATACTTTTTGTCCTCAAAATAAGACCAGAGAAGCAGCAGATCCCTATACCTCATATCTCCGAACTTCTTGCTGATAGCAGTTCCTACATTGCTGATAGCTGCTGTTGCTTTTTGTCCTGCATGGCTCAGGGTCTCATGTGTTTTCTTGTAACTGAAAACAAAAAATAGAACAGAAATAGTGATAAGCATTAAAAAAAGAGAGGCTACAATCCCCTACAATTAATTCCCTTTTCCCTTATTTCCACACCTTAAAGTCCCATCCACTGAGAGGTTAAGAAAACAGTAACTGTAGCACAAAACAGATTACAAAGATGCCCGCTTCTGCACAGCTTCCTAAATGCAGTTTAATCCTCATGTGAGCAAAACGCTCTCCAGAGCAATCCTTTACTGTGTCTCTCCCCGTTGCAGGTAACATCCCTTGAGTGGGTGAGCACAAGCTGTTTAAAAGTAGAATGCAGTGATTTGTTGAATACCTGTTTGATACATTTTCTGTAAATTTACATCAAATAAGCGTTCTCGCAGCAGACACTGACTTGGTAGCAAAATCTGTTTTCTAAAGCATAGAAAAGAATCAGGACATATAAACTCTGCTCTTCCGTTCATATACATATTAGGTACCTTTAAAAGACGCACTTCAAAATGATTTATTGATATTTCAAATTAGACAAAATTGATTGAATCTGTTTCCATATGCTACAATTTTACTTTTTAAAAATTTCTTTAATAGAAGAAGGTTTTGGGAGAGACAAAGAAAGATGAAAAAATCTAGCCAGTGAATTCATATTCTTAATAGCACTGAATCCTTTTAGAAGTCACTCATTTCATGTATAGCATACACATTCAAACACAGAATCATCTTAATTTACTGATCTGGAATATATGCTCTGACCCACATAGACCCTTCAGTCCAGTTAAGTTGCATTCTCAGAGTAATCAATAAGCTTTTCTGCACAGATGCTTTTTTGCTGAGTAAACTAACTCTGAGCATGTCAGAAGCTTCCTTCCGAGTAAACTATCTGATACTCCCAGTGACGCAGACAAGATCAGAATTAGAAGTACTGACCTAGTAACAAAGGCAGAGCACATTATAATCAGTCTTGTATCCTGTGGTGTGTGTTGGCAGACAAGAACTGAAGAAATAATCATGAAAAATTCAGAAATAGAATTCCACTGGTTCTGCTTCTCCTTTGAACAAAATCTCTAAGATTGCAAATGTGTACCAAAATACACTGGAAATTAATAAAAAAATCCCACTGCCTAATTCCTGAAACAGAGTATTTTCTTCTTACTTTTAGGTATATGAAAGCAATATAACTTTGTGGGGGCAGGAGGGGAAATAAGAGAAGATTAACATTTGCAATACAACACATCACATTTTATGTCGGCTCCTTTTAGACCTAGCAGCACCTATTGCTGAAAGTCCTCCATTGAGGACTGTGTTGTACAAAACACAGGTTAGAAGGCAGATGCCAAGTAATGCTCTATCCTTTCGGACAACAGTCTATCAACAATTTATTTGTGTTGGGAAAAATTCTTTGATTTTATGTTCCTAAGCCATAAAATATCTTACAGACTACTGATCTAACAAGTTCTAAAACTGGCAAGTGAAATGGCTTGTTCTATGAAGGCGCTTGTCTCTGTTTTCACTGACTAGCAAGGCAGTCTACAGGGACTGTCAACTTAGACCAGGGTACCAAATCTCTAGAAAACTAGAGTTAGACAAGCTGAATCAATCACGTGCACAATGTTGAACGACAACAAGGGCTAAAACATTGTAACAGTGACAGAAGGAGCACAAATTATAATTAGAAAGGTAGGAGCACTGGTTATGCCTGTTTTATTTCTTCTGGCAGAATACAAAGAAGACCGAAAAGATTGTTTTCACTGGGTCTCCTTTCTTCTCAGCCCTGCTGTCTGTCCCTGGACAGAGCAAGATTGTAATGCTCTTATTTCACTGAGGCCTTATTCTCTAGCTTAACTAGTTTAATAGCTCCGTCATTCTCTTGCTGAGTGGACATACTCTCACATAAACTAGAGTGGGATGAGACTCTAAAATTGCCATTAATGATGCTTCAGTCAAACTATGAACACACAGCTTTTTGGTACGTATTGCCTACGAAAAAAAAAAATCTAATATTTTAATGCCTGTGGATTTTTATATATAGATATAGATATAGGCATTTCTTAAAATGCCTACATTATTGCATGCAAGTATTTAGACTTTTTCCTAACAGAGAAGTTTCCTAAACCATTCAGCACAAGTGGAATCTTGCTGACAACAAAACAAAGTCCAAAACTTGACTTCCAGGTCTAAAAGGTCCATGGTAGCAGAATGTATTTACGTATACGTTGACTGTAACTAGCAAAATACTTTGCAGATATCCTTCCGAACTATATTTTTCTAAAAAGACACCTTGGAGTTCATTTTATTCGCAGGCGTATTTAGCTTTATGAAAAAACATCTCCATGTCTTACCTTTCTGCTGCAGGTTCTTCACACTGCGTTAAACTGTTAAGAGAATAGTCCCAAATGCCCCATACAGCAGACAGACTCAACTTTAATTGAGAAACATTAGAGTCCTCTACATATTTCTGAACGTTACGTTGGTCAGAACACACTTTCTGAGAATTGGCTGAAACGACACTGATTTTGGCATTCCAACTATGTTGTGTTTCCTCTGTAAATCCCATAAACCTAACATCCTCCCCAGTATTTCCACTAGCAAGGAAGACACGGACACTGCATTTATGTTCCTAATGCTTTTGACATTACATAACAGCGTAAATCCAACTAAGAGTGTTACACAACTGGTCTTTTTTCAGCATCAACTTCAGCAAAAATGACCTTTGACATGAACCTCCCCCCTCTCCCCCCGCTGGCAATGCTGAACAAGAGCTTTAAGGAACAAAAAAATAACAAAGGTAAAAATGGAGTGCAACATGCAATACCTGTCAGCAGAGACAAGAAACAGTAATTAGCCTCTCAGTAGAGCTCACTGATAGTTAGCTTAAAAATCAAGCCCCCCCATCCCTGTCTCTCCAGCATTATGCGTATCACTATGCCTTCTTCATAAATAAATTATCTTTCTGCAGAGCACATCGCCTTACTGTAGTTAGTTATGCTTTGTATTGATATACAGCACAGTATTTTGGCTCAGATATTTTTATCATCATAGTTATGTCATATTTACAGTATTCATTTGATACCTTGCCAAACACTCTGGTAACAATGATCTCCAACATATTCTCTCCCACTTCTGGGAATATTCTCAGTTGTATGTAGCATTAATAATCTGAGCCAGCAATTTTCATATCCTCATGTAACATGCACCAGTTTGCAGTTTTGTTTTAATGCACTGAACAGCTTACATAATTTCCAGAAACCTTTAAGAGCAGAAATAAAGTTGAATATTCCAGGTAAGACCTACTAACATTTATTCATTGGAGAAAGTGCTGTACATATGGCTTAAGCCCTCCTAACACCACCAACTGCTCCAACATGCTAAGTCGTCTACAATAGCTGTACACTCTCATCCTTTGAGCAGCCATTGCTGGCAATCGTTGGGCAAGTACTGACCACCCAGCTCATCAAGGCAGGTGACAGCATCTCAACAGGCAGTCAGCCATCGGCTGAAATAAGGTCAGTGACCCTGAACCTTAAGGCAGAAATGATCCAGCAGAAACAAACTCAGAGAATTTAGGACAACAGAGATTCAAGAAATACCACCTTCCATCCAACCCACGGCATTCATTTTTACACAAATCCATCATTAGGCTCTATGCCTTTCTTACACTAACACAAAGTCACCATAAGCTCCCTGAGTTTAACAGCATTATGCCAGATGCCCAGTAGCATTAGTAAAAGTAGAAACAGGCTACTTCATTTATACAGTTAGAGTAGAAATGCCTTCTCTGTTTTTGTGGCATCTAAACATACTCCATAGCACAGAAGAATTGCTGGTAGTGGCTAACAAGGATCATATTCCATGCTTTTCACTTAGCACTTAACAGTAAATATTTATAATGTATTTCATAGACAACAAAGATTAAACAAACATGGTATGTGAATTGCTGTCACAATTGTAAACTTGTAAATAAAACTCACCTGTGTCATTTTGAACATTACCTTTTTACATGACATTCACCTAAGAATTTCATCCATCATCTTCCGATTATAATTGGTTTTTAAAATAGGGTATTTCTTTAACAAAAGGAATTGTTTATAAAACTGATTATTAGAGGTTATCATAAAATATGCTGATATTGCAAGTTATATTCTGATAATATGCCCAACATTTAAAAGAAGCTTTAAAGATAACTCACATCTCCGGTACTGTAACATACTAATTAGGCAAAATAGATTTGCAGCATATTTTGACTGCTTTTTCACCTGACAGTTTCATATACTGCATTTAGGTTGTACTATCGTATGACAACCAGGTCTCACTAGCTGATTTTTACAGCCAGTGAAAGCAAATGAAAGAAGATACTGTTTCATAAAACACAATGTGCGAAGGAAATAGTGCTTCATATAAAGTATAGCCAGGCAGCAGACATAGAGAGAGGTCAGAGAACTAGATGTTTAAATGACCAATATCATCTGCAGGATAAGACAGGATAATCATACTGCACGCTATCTGATCTCATCTCAACTCAGTACAGAATTGCCCTTCACGTGGCAGAGTTAAATCTAATCTGCCTTCATAGGTGCAGTACATGGACTGCTGACAGAAGTAGGCTACAAATACAGTATTCGTATTTTGCATGGCAAGCTGTACATTCGACCTACTACAGTAAATTATAAAGAATTTAAATTCAGTTTCTGTAAAATTAGTAATTAAAATTACATCTGCTAATTAGTACATCTTCATTCAGCATTGTGCCTCTCCATCAATGCTTGCTGGCAAAATTAATCCATTTGAGAAACCCTCTTCTGTGATAAAGCTTACACAAGACGCAACAAAATGCAAACAATTAACAACAAAACCATACAGTAGAGCAGAGCCTGGTAGCACAAGCCATGCCCTATGGAGCTTGCTTCTTTTTACTTTTCAAACGATTAGTCAGCTTAATGACGTTTCTGGAATCAATGTAAAGCATCTGGGTCTCTGAGAAATTCTCAGCTAGTAAACTATTTTTCTGTTGATTTTCT